TGTTTTGAGCCTGACAGATGAAGGGCCCCATGTGAACTCCATCTGTAGCAGCAGAGTTTGCACTGAACTCTGAAGCACCCTCGGAAGAGCCACAAATCCCAGACCCTGAACAGAGAGATTCACCAGGGGGCAGCACGATATCACTTTCTATTGTAAAAAGAGGAGTTAATAGTTTCAGTTGTCAGAGAGCTCTTAGAAATTAGCTGCTTGTTGTTCCATCCTTACGATTTCAAATAAGTTTCTCTTTAAAGCTAGCCTCTGGAGAATCTCCTAAATCCAAGGTGTTAGGCATTGATGTTTTGTCCAGGCAGTCACCTAGTGGAAGTAGAGGGAGTTCAGGCAGTTGTGTTTTCAATGTATGTCTTTGCCAGGTTTCTGGCCAGGACTGGTTGGGGCAGCTGATGGGTGCTGGTCCAGCTTCAAGCATTCCAGGAGCTCTCCTGTGTTAAAGGCACCAGCCTGGGTGAATATTATTTCAGCCTCATTTTTGGGAGGCATTAACCAGAAGGAGTAAGCCCTCTGATGTCACTACATGATAAGGGACCACAGAGGATGAATCTAGAGCCATAGAATCATAGAATGGCCTGGGCTGGAAGGGACATTAAAGGTTCCAGTTCCAACTCACTTGCCAGGGCAGGGACACTTTTCACTAGACACAGTTGACTCAGAGCTCCATCCAAGCTGATGTTTAACACTTCCAGGGATGGGGCATCCTCAGCTTCTCTGGGCAACCTCAGAAAAAAGTGCCTCACCACCCTCACTGTAAAAAAATTTCCTTCTGAGATCTAATCTAAACCTACTCTCAGTTTAAAGCCACTTCCCCTTGTTCTGTTACTACATGCCCTTTAAAAAAGTCCCTCACTAGTTTTCTTGTAGGTCCCCTTTAGGTAGTGGAAGGCTGAGATGGTTTTGTGTTATAATTAGATTTACTTCTGGTTGTCATGTGTGCTGAGCAGATTCTAGGTCCTTTAGCACTTATGGTAAACTCCTGCTGTTCAAAGAGCTAAGAGGAATCCCTGGTCACATTTTGCCTGCTCAGCTTCCTTCATTCAGGGCTTCACCTGTCATCAGTCTGTTCCTAGTTATTTCTCTGTTCTGTTTGCACAGGTGTCTGCAGCAGTCACCTCCCCTGGTTCAAGTGCCGCTGTGCTTTTCTGTCCTTTTCTGACCTCCTTCTCTCAGCATATCATCAAAGCATTTTGGGCTGGTTTCCTGTAACTTAACTACGTCTTCTGGCCTTGGTCATTCCCTTTGCTGCTTTGACTTCTGCCTGGTGGGATGCCTCATGTGTAGCATCAGTCTTGTGCTTCACTCCTGACATGACACATAGAAGTCTTCATTGACTGACTGTGTCTGATCTCACTCCTTTTGAAGTTCAGTCTGAGCTCCATCTGCTCCGGCTCATCCCAACACTTCCTAACTCTGTACTGAAGCCTTCAAAGACGCAGCTTTACCATGGGGCTGCTCCACATGTATCCTTAACTTTCCTTAGCTTAAATATTATTTTTATTTAAAGTCCTGAGATCTTAAGTATATATATTTAGAACACGCTCCTTACAGTGTTAGCTTAAGTTACATTACTTAGTCTTCTGAGAGTATAGTACCCTTCTTCAGAGTGGATACAAAATTATGAATTCAGTAGTAGAAATAATTTAAATATCTTTCAAGACAGGTCTGTGTCTGCTCTAAAAGAAAATAAAAATGTGTTTCTATTTTAAGAAAAAGACTTTAAAACCTTATCCTCTTTCTTTCTTTCTTTCTTTCTTTCTTTCTTTCTTTCTTTCTTTCTTTCTTTCTTTCTTTCTTTCTTTCTTTCTTTCTTTCTTTCTTTCTTTCTTTCTTTCTTTCTTTCTTTCTTTCTTTCTTTCTTTCTTTCTTTCTTTCTTTCTTCATTTCATCTTCTTTATTTCAACATTTGAAAAAAAAAACTGTCGGAATCTGTGGGTATTGGTGATTCCGAGATTGTAGAAAGTCTCTGTCTTTCTGCCCCGTTGCCAAAGAAGAAGCCATAGTTCGTCTGTGCTGGTTTCAAGGTTGTTTATTTTTGCTTATCTATAACAAGTTCTGCTGCCCTGCCGCAGGTCTGTCCTGCAGGGCAGTGTGTGGGGCTCTGCCCCTCAGTGGGATGGTACAAACATTATATACCAGAAATTACGTGTACTATATTTACAATAATGTGCCAATATCTATCATCTACGTTGAATAGTGTGTCCCTAGCCTAAACCAATAGAAAAATGCCAACATCACCAAGAACATGGAGGTAAGGAAGAAGAAGGAGGAAGAACAGGATCAGGCCCACTTTCCTCCATCTTAGAACTCCTGACCCCCCTGTACAAAGTAAAACCCCCCTGTACAGGTGTTAAAACCCCCCTGTACAATACTAAAAAATTTTCCCCTCTAATTTGTGACTACTTTTACTATATCATCTAACCCTCTGTGACTGCTTGTTCCACCTTTAAAGTTGGTAATTCATTCCATGGTTCAAACTCAAAATCACAGCTGTTTTCTGCTGTCTGCCAGGGTCTAAAATGCTTCTGACCAAGGCCTGGAACCTCTAAAAATGTCTGAGGGACATTTTGAGTTCCGACAAAAAACCTTCTTTTTTTTCATTTGCATTCTTTTTATTTCTTGGGAAAACCAAGGAAGAAAAGACAACAAAAATGCTGAAAAATATTTTGTTCATTTTCCTTTGTTTTTACATTCCATTTTCATTTCATCTTCTTTTTTCAAGGAAAAAATAAAATTAGGGGGTTTTGAAGACAAATGAAAAGATTTTTAATAATTTTTTTTTTTCAGTTTTAGCAGGGCAGAAAATGTCTTTGAAAATTCACAAAAAAGAAAAGTTTAAAAGGGAAGTACTTTCTATCCAACCATCTTAACAAGGCTTTTTAGCTAGTTAAGCCAGCCAGCACAGTGTGCTTTGTAATGTTTTCTAGATGAGGACTGTCCATCACCTTTACAGGAATCCATACCAATGCACTGTGCCCTTGCATGACATTTCGGAGGTCTTTGTGAGCATTACACCAAATTTTCTCCTGACTAAACCTGATTCAGTTTCCCTTAAGGTCTCTTCATTTCACAGTCAGTGCTACGACTATGACTCACAGTAGAAATAACCCAACCTGGGCTTTAAAATAGGGATGAGGCCGGGCTCTGTCATCTGCTGTGTACGTAATTTTTAGAGTGATCTGCCACTGCTTTTGAATGTTTAATTTTCCAGGCTCTGCCAAGATAACAGAGAGGCACATTGCTTGGCAGTGGTCATCGCTGAAGAGCACTGGCTCTTGGGTGTCAGTGCTCAAGACTACCAGTAAGATGTATGTGCTTTGCAAGGTGTGTGGCACCTGTTCTTCCTGTCTATTTAGGGGTTTGGAGACGTTACACAATGTCTGGCTTTCTTGTTTCTTGCTCAAACTAAATATGTATAACTACGCCTTGATATTGGTCTTTTCAGGATCAGCAACTTTTTCCATCTTTTGTTTGTTTCTTCCCATTTTGACTTATATCCAATGCCATTATTATCTAAAGGAAAAAGTTTTTTTAAAAAGCTTTTATCCACTGTGGATAAATTAGTAAGATTCTTCTTGGAAGGTGTTCAGAAGTGTTCATGAAGGTGTTCATGATCCTGCATGGTTGAAATGAATGAGTCTATTTTATGCAGGAACAGAAATGTTGCTTCTAAGAGCTTCTCAAGTTACCCAGTCACATAACTTAGTTGTTATATGTAACTAAGTATCTTCTCTGATTCACCAGATTTACTTTGATCTGAACGGCCTTTTTCTGGAAATAAATCTTATTGTCTTGCAAGATTTTAATAACAAAATGGTGAAATGTTTTTGTATACAATTATGATATTAGTACCTGATTGAATTTATTTTTATAAAGGATGCTTCTTACTGCAAAAAAATAAATATATGTTCATACATATTTCCTATTAAAAAAAACCTATAAAAATATATGCATTAAAGTAAGTTATTAGTGGCTTTAGACAGTGTCAATCTTATATTTGTGCTACTTTTTCAATCCTAAAATATATCTGCTCATTTCTTAGCCATTGTATTCTATTTCAGTTTTTATCAATCAAGTCAGGCTGAAAGCCTGCAAATTGGCTTTGCATAACCTGTTCCCAAATTATGGAGGAATTCATTCTTTCAGCAGTGAAGAATCAATAACTTCTTTTTAATTTTACCATGTCAACAATGTATTGCATTAAAAATATGTACAGAATTTTAGAATATAGTATACCAAAACTTATACATCACAAATCAGGTTTACCCAGGAGTCTTCCCCATGGGCTGCTGTGCTGTAGCAAAAGTTGTGTTTCTTCAAGTTCTTTAAAACCACCCTGTTTACTTTGCTCTGTTGTTTTCTCAGACTCACGTGGGTAGAAACTAAAAAAGAAAGTTCAGTATGTTGCTCTCCAGATACACTATTGAGAAAATAAGCATGTCACACAGAAATAAGACTGTATCTTATCTGCTGCGAGAAAGGATTTTGCGGTATTCCTTTCAAAGACTTACCTAGTTTCTTTGTCACTGCACTTTAAGCCTTGAATCCCCTGCAGGCAGGAGAGACTGAGAGGGAAGGAGGTGAATGCTTGCTGCAGCTCTCTTCTGTCTTGTTAGCTTTGCAGAAGTTGTAGCTGGTTTCGAAAGCTCACTTTTTAATGAAATTTGCAAATATAACCACACAATAGATTACTCTGGCCCTCAAAGCAGATTTATAAATCTCCTGAAAATCCAAGTACAGAGATGTCGTACTACCTTTTATTCATGTTGAGATTGTAGATAGGTAACAGCTTGCGTTAATATTTGACAAATCTGTTCTATGTTACTGTCAGAAATGTAGCTGAATATCTCTTTGGCTGGCTGGCTTGTACTTGAAACTGGTTTTCGTAAGATCTGGATTTGAAAATCTCTCCTGCCAGACTTGTAGCTGTCAGATTCATTATCTTCAAAATTTCTCTTAACCTCTGATGGTGTTTTTCTTTCCTTCTGCAGAAACAGAAGGTGCATGCAGCACAGATGTCAGTCTTCAAGGAGTAACTTCTTCAACCCCAAGTGATACCAGCTCCTGCTAGTACCATGGGGCTAGGGGGTGTTTTTTTAGGCACTGGACAGATCCACGTCATCCTGTGGGGAAGTTTGGCAGCCATGACAACACTCTTGTTCCTCACCTTCCTCATCTTCCTTTGCTCCAGCTGCAATGGGTAAGGCTCCAGGGCTTAATGGTTCTTGATGCACTTTGGACATAGCTTCATGTATAAATAGTGAGTGGAAAATACTGAGGACTGAGGTACAGAAATAAAGAAAAACAGAGCAAACTTCAGTCTGAACAATTCTGTTCATTCTAAAATCTAATTATATTTTTATTTTGCTGTGAAGGAAGTACACAATTGTGTTTATTCAGTGGTTTTATTAGGGTTTATTAGGGGTTTATTCCCCTAAGCAGAAGCCTGGAGCACAGGTAGACACACTGAGTGTTAGCAGGTCACACCCCTAAACTGAAGCTGAGGATATTAGGTGGGCTAAACAGGACAAAAAAAAAAGTCTAGGTAAAAAAGGAAAGGGAGGTGATTGTGTACTTTCAGCTTTGCTGTGGCCATTCCTGAAGTATAGGGAATATAGTATTGATCTTGCCTTTCATGCAAAAGTGAGTAAGGATCAAACAGAGGTACTAATTAATGCCTTATACTTTATCCTTATTTTCTTCTCCATAAGAGGATTCAATATCACCAATACAGGCACTTCTACTGACTTTGTTTATGCACATTTCAAGGCTCCTTCATGACTTGTAAGCTGAGCCCTGCTGACTGCAGTCTGTCCATGGTGCCCTTCCACAGGCCAGACCAGTCAGACCCTTCACGGGGAGGAGTGGGACTGCTGTGGTCCATATTGCTAGATTTTGTAAGCACAACTGAATCAGCCAAGTATATGCAGGAGGAAATTCCAGTAGAGCAGCAAAATCTGCAGTTTGGATGCATATGCCTATATGGAGCATGTGCTTTCACCCCTTCAGCTTTGAGAACATTGAGGAAATTGTGCAGCCATAAAATGCACTGTATTGGCACAGGATGTGTCTACAGTGGAAGGCTTTATTTTTCAGCAGGATGTGTTTAATGCCCACCATGCAAAAAACAGTTGTGAGCAAAAACAGGTCTCAGAGTTGGTTGAAACCCTAAAAAGCCTAAGTTAGAACACGTAATTGCAGGTGATTCAGGAAAAACACTTTTGTAAACTGTAAGTTGACACTTCAGTATCTTCTTATTGCCACAGTTTCCTGTGATATCTGTGTAAAAAAATAGTAGAATTTTAAAGATTTTATTTAAAAGTAGAAAATATTCTTTAGCCCACAGACATTGCATTTAGGTACTGTGTATCATCTTTAACGCCTTTTCCAACTCAAATGATTCTATAAGTCTGTGTTTTGTTTTGTAACACACCAATCTTTGAAACATCTCTAGAAAGATGGGTCAAACCACTGAGTAATTTTTGCAGTTACAGAGATACATTGCCTGAAATATCCCGGTGATGTTTTTTAATAAATTCTTGTGTTCCTACTTTGGGCATAATATCTTTTGTTTCAGGTCATTCTGTAGGGCAGGTTGTTTATGCATAAATATAATTGTGCAGAATTTCTTCCTGGCTTACTCTTCAAAAGTGGACATAGAAAACGGAATAAAATTTGCTCTTTCTAAAATAGCAGAGTCAGATAAACTTCCAGAGAGGAAATTCAGCTTTTAACTTTCTGTGCTCTGCATTGGTGCACTCACCTGCTGTTTTGTTATGTCCCAATTAGATAGAATTTTAACGGTTGCTAATGTGGAAGTACAGTTCACTGCAGACTTTAGAAAAAGCAAAAATTTCATATTGTCAGTATTTTCTCACCTTTTTATTTGAATTTTCATCTAGGGGAAGGACGAATATTATTTTAAACTTATACTTTATTGCAGTATTTCTGAATAAGAGGTATATTTCCCAAATGATAAAAACTGGAAATGTGATCCATACTTTGACTCCTATGAAGGACCCAGGAAATTTCTTTAAAAATGTATGCCTCTGCTGCTGTAAAATTTGTATGCCTTTTTGAACTGCTTATACTTATTATCAATTTGACTAGCATTTTTAGTTATCTGGATTTTTTTTTGCCTTTTCTAATTCCTCATAGGATACACACTTTTTACTGGCACAATTTAAGGGACTCCCTAAGTAGTCTGTAAACAGAAAGTGTATCTGAGAATTTCAGATATAATTAAATTGAAAAATAATATTTTTATTATCATAGAATGGCCTGGGTTGGAAGGGACTTGAAATCATCTAGTTCCCTGTCATGGGCAGGGACACATTTCACTAGAGCAGGTTGCTCAGAGCCCCATCCAGCCTGGCCTTGAACACTGCCAAGGATGGGGCATCCACCAGTAGTTGCTTCTTGGAGCAATTTGTTTCAGTGTCTCACCACCCTCACAGTAAAGAATTTTTTTGTAATATTTAATTTAAGCCTACTCCCTTTCAGTTTGAAGCCATTCCCCCATGTCCTGTCTCTACATAATTATACATTAATGTAATTATCATCAGTCACTTTTCACTGTGATCTTACACTGAGTGAGAAGAAGGGTTTTGTGTGTTTGTTGTATCTCTTCAGTTATGTTTATCACCATTCTGCCTCAACAGTGTTTTTACACAGAGGTCATACAAATTTCTGTAATAATTTTCAGTTATTCCATTTTCAATATTATTGTGAATCATAGTTCTGTTCCCTGCAGGAGTGCAAGGTCTGTGAATGATTGGTATTTGTATATTAGCATAATTTTTAGTAAAAATTCATGTGTCTTTTTCATTAAGGGAAAAGAAGGCCAAAAATCAGAATGGAGATCATGAAAATCTGATGAATGTGGTAAGTATTTATTTCTGGCAGCTTTTGTCTGTCTTGTGGTTGGTTTGTACCAAGCTCCTTGCAAAATACAACAGATTAGAAAATTGCTCAGGAATTTCAAGGTGGTTGAGAATGGGAAACTAAAAGTTGCAGAAGAGGAAGAGGAGGAAAACTTGTGTAGATCCTGGTAATCTGCACTTTTTCTGCCACCATTGTACTCCAGCTTTTCTTTGACTCCATTTGCAGCGTACAAAGGGCAGCATACATTGCAGGGTGCAAAGGGCAGCGTACCCTTTGTCAGCTGCTGCTTCTCACAGGTTAAAGCCATAGTAATGTCCATTACCATAAAGCTTGAAAAGGACATTGCTCTGGACATCTTGGCATTTATTTCTTTTTAACATCTGTAAACACAGGCACTTAAATCCTTTAATCTAGCTGGCATGGTTTGCTTCTCCTGCCGATAACGCCCGTGGGTCAGAGCTCCGGAGATGAGAATGAAATGCGCTGCGCGTGTGCTCATGTAAAGGTTTACTCTGATCCCGCGGTCTCTGATCTGTGTTGCAGCCTTCCGAGAAGGAGGTGTTCAGCCATTCCATCACCAGCTCGGTTACGGAGCCTCCCCCGAACAGTGAACAGAACGGGGCCCTCAGCAACGGTGAGGGTGAGTAGTGGCAGCCCCTCCCTTGGGGGTGAGCAGCAGCACGTCCCGGGGCTCACAGCTCCCACCTCAGCTGCTCGCTGGGGATCCCTCAGGTTTCCAGCCAGCAGCTTTCCAAGCACACAGGCCAGCCATTTGTCAGAATACTCTGGGCACCTCTGCACGTCTGACACCAGATCACACAGAACCTTCAACAGAGTTTAAAAATGCCATGGAGTCGTTTGGCTTGCTGGGAAGTCAGTGGAGGTGATCATCTCATGGATATTCAGGTGGTTTAGGCTGCATCCCTGCCTCTCCACTTCACTCCTGGGTGTGCTCTGGCACAGCCCTACGCCCCTGCTCCCAGTCCTCCATGCCAGCCAACACTGGGAGGTGCTGAGGTCCTCTCCTGGCCTGCCAGGTCTGGGTCACCGAGCCATACCTGCAGATTGACCAGGTCATCAGGCATAGAATGGGACCTTCCCTAATCTTGGTAAGCTATGGAACTGGGATAAAACCAGAAGATGAAGCTGCACCTTTGAGTTTCAAAAGTGCTTCAGGAGGCTGTGGAAATATTTCAGGTCCTCCTCCAGGATTACAGCTTCGGATCACAGTCCTGTGCTGTGCTGTCACTTATATTTTTATATTTAGAAAATGGGCAACATAAATAGGCTTCCTTTTTTTTCCTTAGTCTTTGCTTTGCTGAACACTCAAAATTATTCACCCTGAAGTATCACTGGAAAATATTTTACTCAGCTGTACCTAAAAATAAACTCACTCTCAGCTCAGAGCCACTGAGAGCCAACTATTGTCTTCACACTAACACCAACACCAACACCAGGGGCTGCATTCCAACTTACAGCTCTCTCCTCATCTCCTGCAACCAGAGGCTGAGCTATTCAGACTTTACCCCTTAGAGACAAGTATCCAAAGTAATTTTTAAACTTTGTTTTTGCAGCTAATTGCTGTTCCCATCCATTGGCTTGTTGTGTATGTGGGTGTGTGGTTCCCTGAGGGACTTGATGTGCAGAGCAAAGCCCTGCAGAATGGAAGTATTTCTCTCTGCCATGAGTCACCACATGTGCAGCTGTCAGAGCTGCTGCTAAAAGGTGTGCTGTCAACCAGCAGACAGTTTTCAGACTGTCTGATACTATACTGAGCTTACACCCTGCATAACAGCCCTTCTGAATAACAGGAACCCCTGTGCTTTAATTTCTTACTTATACTTTATGCACTTTTTATTAATAGTTCTTTTTATTACTGTTTCTGCTAGCTTTTTAAGCAGGGGCAGGGTTATGGAAGAAGAACCATCAAATGCTGTGGTTTTTTTCCTTTACCCAACCTGCCAGCATTGTCTTATCTAAGCCAACCCTTCAGCTACACCAACCCCTTCTGTGCTACCACCCATAATCACAAAAATACAAAAAACTTAAGCTCTCATTGCTTTTGATTATCCCCTCCAGCCTGAATGGGTTGTGCTTTCTGGGTTCTGTAAGGGTGCTCAGCATAGCACAGAAATCCCTAGAATCAAAGACCTGAAAGGCAAAACTCCCATCTCCCATTCAGACAGTGATTATCATCTTACACCTCCCGTTCTGTCCTGAGTTTTGCAGTCAGGGTATGGCTCCCTGCAGGTGCTGACTGTGTCTGCATGCCCTGAACACAAGAGAAAGCAATGTCCATGGCAACCACCAAATCAAGGGCACTGATTGCTTTGGCAACGCTTCTGTCACCATGTCAAACACACTGAAAGACACAGAAGAAGGGGTTACTTTTGTTGAGATAATGCCTTAGGAACTGTACTAGGAAAAGTAAAGCTGTTCAGAAGTGATTTTTTAAAGAAAAAGTGTGAGGTAAAGTTACCTACCATGCTTGAAACATGCTTGTATATGCTCATGAATGCATGCAAATGTCACACGTGTGGTGTAAGATGAGAAGTCCCATACATTTCAGTCCCTAATACCCTCTAGTGACAAAGGCATGTAGCCCTCTTTTGGGACCTGAAACAACATGTTCTGCCTGACACTACCTTCTGAAGTCTAGTCTTCTCTCTTGTGCATATGGCCGGCTCGTTAGTAGGTTGTCAACCAACATTATGTGCTGCGAGACTAAGAGAAGTATGGCTCAGCCCTCAGTGAGAGCTTCTGCTGTAGCGTGCAGGGAGGGCTGGGCGAAGTGTAATCCCAACGAGAATTGGGCCAGCATGTTAAACAAGCTGAAGGATGGCAGGGAGGAAGAAGGAACACTTTCCTTTTGATTCCAGAGAATGGGGAAATGCAAAGAGGAAAATCTAACGAGGATTTTTTTAAGGCACTTGGTTTGAGGCCTCCCACCTGTTTCCCATCTGAGACTACTGAGCACTCTGTAATCATTCAGTGAAACTGAGTACAAGGCAGCTGGATATCCATGCACAGCTAACCTCCCACCTCCTGTTCTGACAGTGAATGCTGTTGCCATATAATGTGACTTGGGGGTGTACAGACTATTTTAGATGTTGTGAGAAAGATATTTTACCAGTAGAGTAAAGGAATTTTACCAGTAGGCAGAAATGTCTGAACTAACAAAGCATACTAACCACTAGGCATTTCCAGACATTAGTATCATTTATCCTTTCCAGCATGTCACAAAAACGAAGTGATGTGGAGAGCAAAGTGATGTAAATCACACCTTTTAGTTATGTCTTTGTTTGTAATACTTCTCTGTAATTTTCTTTAGTTCTTTCTGAAGACAGTACAGCTGCCTGTATCCAGCCTTATGAAGAAGTTCAGACATCGGATCTACTAGATCAACAGGATAGTCTTGGAAAGTCTATAAAATGTCACCAGAGCCGGGAACTACCCAGCATTCCCCCTAACAACCCCATGGAAACTATAATCTCATCTAGAAATGCAGAAAATGATCAAGGTCTTGGAATGGAAGGGCCTTATGAAGTCTTGAAAGACAGCTCCTCTCAGGAGAACATAGTTGAAGACTGCTTGTATGAAACTGTGAAGGAAATTAAAGATGTTGGAGCAGTAGTCAGCATGGAAGGGAACTCAAACAGCAAATCAAAGGCTTCACTGACAGTTTCTGAAGGTCAGAATCAGATTCCTGAGAACAGAATTGAGTCAGCAGAATATGCATCTGTTGACCGAAATAAGAAGAGTCGCCAGAGTGCAAATTCAGAAAGTCCTCTTGACAACATACCAGATGTAGAGGATGAGCTTCCCCCTCCAGTACCCATGAAACTTCTTGACGAAAATGAAAATGTGCAAGAAAAAGAAGTCAAAGAAGTGACAGAAGGAGCGAGTAAACCAGAAAAGGTAAATACTGCCAAATATTTGTCCTCATCAAACAGCCAGATAATGATGGAGAACATATGGGTGGGAGAGGATTTTATTTTTCAGTAATAAAAAATAACAAGAAAGAAACCCCACTCAGATGAAGCAAGACTGTAAATGGAAATATGATAATGTGTAGTAGAATCTTTGCATTAGAGGTATATGCTCCTTCTATTGCTGCCTGTATTTTTGACTGCAGCTATTCACTACATAAGGCTTTTCCCAAATAATATCCAGAAATTGCATAGGAGGCTTCTGCTTCTTTATTTGACGTATTATACTTGTGGAAGCTATTACAAAGGGACAGTATCTCTGTCACCATCTACATGTTGTTCTGAAGCCGCCTCTTCTTTTTTTTCAATGAAACTGCAACTTACAAAAAGGAGAGGGGGGCATCCTTGGTGGATGTCCTTACTTTAGATGTGCCTCTTTCGATGGGCTACCTTGACTTAGCAAGTGTTAGGCACTCACTTTGTGTTTTGCTGTAGGAGGGAGGGATAGAAAGAGATTGCAGCTGTATGCTTTTTGCAGCTGTATTTGTCAAATTCTGTATATCACATATAAACAGAGTATAAGGAATTTCTAAGTGCTGAAATCACAGCCAAAAGTTAAGTTTTCTCATCAGCTTATGCTTGCTGAACGAGTTGTGGTGAATTCCTTGAAATATAGAATTATGACATTTTCAGCAGTTTATTTTCACATTTGTAGTTTTTTATTGGAAGTAATTTTAAGGATGCTTTCAGATCATAGCAGAGACGTTTCATAAAATGTTGAGTTTGCATTTTTCAGAATGTTTAGATACCTTCTTATTAATTGGAATGAAAGAACTGTAGGTTTAGCAGATTTTTGGTGTCTGAGTCATCAAATAATATTAGGTAGGTATTGATGAAAATTTAAAAAAAATTTTTAAGATGCAATGTGACTTTTTAATGTAAACATTTACGTGAAAAATCACAGCAGAGCTGAGGTATTGTTACTTGTTTCTGGTTGTTCTCTTATTTGAAGAATTTCAGTAATCCAGGAAGAAGGCAAAAGAGTATCCTGTTAAATAAATAACAAACCATGTAACTTGTAAAACACAATATAGTCCAAATAAATAAACTGAAGACTTCTTGCAGTATAAAAATTGTTCAGCTAGACTCTTCAGTGCACGTTTTTACAACAATGATCTCATTAAGTAAAAAATTAAGATGTGACTGTCATCAATAATCCAGCACCATTCCCCTCTCCCACATTCCAGCCATAAGTAATTTCTAATTAAACTTTTAGATAAACAGCTTAGTGTAACAGTGACATTTTTCCTACTAGGTGTGAAAAGACTAGCAGAAAGTAATTGTATGTCCCAGGCACCAATACAAAGGAAAAGCCTTTGCTGCTCTGTAGCTCCCCAGCACTCCGTGTATGCACTGTCAGTAACTGCCAGGAGTGGGAATTGATTAAAATGGTTCAGGTTTTGAAGGATTAATCAAGAGATGACACATGCAGTCCCCTAAGTGCCAGAAAAAAGGTGTTTGTCTAATTAAAATTTATTCAGAGCTGAAGCCACCCTGAGTTAAATCTTGGGCAGCATCAGTTCATTGCCGTGCTCGCTGCTGGGTACATGCATTATGCATCGAGGTGTGTGCCTGTCCTGTCCTTGAGAGCTACAGCTGCAGCAGAGCTGGAGATGGTAATTGATGGAATACATAAATATCATTATTGCTGGCATTGTGTGGGGAGGGGGCTGTGGGGTTGTTTCTCTGTTGTGATGATGATAGTTTTTCCCTGTATTTTGCTGCTTCAAGCAATGCAGAGCAATTCCTGGTTTTTTTTTTCGATGTGGCAACCAAAACCAAGATGTTCACGGAAATGTATATTACACTAATAACTCTTTCAGGTAGACCCCGTAGGTGTTTCTGGTTTTGCTTCCTCTTCTATGAGTCTACTTAGCTGCTTTGTTTACCATGACATCTGTATCCCAAACTCTTCAACCTTCTGCCCTGGCCCTGATGAAGACAGAGGTTGTGTGTATGTCATACAAGTCTCCCTCACTATAATGAGGGCACAAAGAAGGGACAGGCAGGGAGGCACCTGTTAACCAAGGCTTGTACCTGCCAACAGGTAAAAGGAGAGAACAGACTGTGTCCAAGCTGTTACAGTCTCGCCATCTAAAAGAGGGTGAGATCCCAGCCTATGCCAGTCCCTGAAGCATTCCAATCTAGGAGACAACTAGGTGGACCAAACCAGAGACCATTCCTGTATATAACAGCATGAAAACAACAAAGCATCCTTTTAAGAGGCAGGTGTGCAGCAATAGATGAAAATTTACCTAAACTGGTTTTTGGCTGTGACCCAGCCAAATCCTGTGGAAAGACTTGATGATGAAAGAAACCTTTAATATCATGAGGCCTCTTACAGGCCTCTATCACCTTCAAAACCTTGAACATCATTATTCTAATAATACTGAAAAAGCAGAATAGATTTCTTTAGTTATTTATTTTATTTAGAAAGGAAGTATGAATTCCTTTTTCATCCAGGTCTTTCCAGAGTGAGCACTGGTAGAAATGCTATCTGTGTGTCCATTTGGCTGCTGCCATCTGATTTCAGCCTTGCATAGCCTGAGGATGGGCAAAGCATCTCTTACAAATGCACCAGAGGAGAATGTTCTTGTTCTTTTGCCCAAGTCAGGAGCAGCACTGAGCCAAAGAGCAAAATATCAAGTGCTGTTGAGGAAGGAAAGGAAAGAGGAAGGCAAATAAGGACACATGTTGTTTGTGTTGCTACTGTTGAGGTTTCAGCATAGTTTAAAATGTTGCTAGGTACAAAATGTTTAGGGGCAAGTGGGATTTAAGTTTCCAAGATAACAATATCCTCCAAAACGGATGTGTCACAAGCTTCACATTTAGAAGAAAGAATGCTGTGTCAGGGAAACAGCACAGGATGGCAAACACCCTGGGGTATTTATCAGTACTTGAGTGGGAAACTGTAGAAGGGGTCCTGACACATGGTGCTTATAGATACACTGATGACAGAAAAATCACTGAAGAATTTTATGAGCACATGCTTGTTTTAATGTGCGAGGATGAAATTAGTAGCTTACTCCCCAGCACAAAAAGATGCAGATAGGAACGACTAAACTAAGTTGCTGTAGTGAAGCAGATCTAATATAAGGCCAAAATATATTTGAATTTTTCCTTTTTCTTTTGCCTTTTTTTTTTGGTTGGTTGGTTTTTTTAAGAGTAAACAAACCAGAGTTAAAGAGCACTGTTCTCCAATCAGTGATAAAGAAGTGAGGGAGTTTGTTGGTGTGAGGGAAGCTCTTTGGGTGCAGCAGGCAGAACTTCAGTGTGTTTTGGGCCAGGGTCTGTCAGAAGTGCCCAGAAACCTGAAGTTTGGTATTTACCAGAAGTAAAAACAATAAGAAAATGGAAGGAGGAAAGAATCTATCACAATGAGCCTCTGATTAAAACAAATTAAAAAAAAAAGAAGAAAACAAGTTGTATGCCTGGAAGCGGTATTTTATTGACTGTGCTAAAAATAGCTCTAGTCCTCCATGTTGGCTTGCACTGGAGATGGTACGAAGTATTTTACTTGGATAAGTTGTGTGAAAGGCCAAAATACAGCCTTTTACAGTGTTGGAAGGCTCCCTCTGAATCACTGTGGAGCAGGAGTCCAGCAAAGCCTTCTTGGCCCAGGGAGGAGGCATCCCACAGCTGCTGTGTAGCAGCAGGGTCTTTGTTGCTGTAAAGGTCCAGAGGCATTTTGCATAAGAGAAAAATGCTTTCCCCTTGATTTTTCCTGACCTGTTTTACACAGAACATTTTAGATGCTTGAAATTAGACTCCATCCTTCAGCGACTGTGCTGTGTGGCCTGGCTCCAGCTCAGGGTGGGCTGCAGCAGGTCTGAGTGCTTGTGAGGCCAGGCTGCTGAGCACCTCTGCACAGGGACAGCATTCCAGGGGTGGAGGACACAGCGCTCCCATGCAGCACGTCCAGGATCTACAGAATGAAGGGTAACAATCATCCAGAAGGTGTCAGCTGGGTATTGTTATTTTGTCATCTAAAACCATATCTGAAAATCCTATGAAAGGGCAACTGGTGTACTCCAAGAGCTGACTTCTAATTGTTCAGAAGCCTCAGCAGATACTTCATAAGAGGTATAAAGGAGGTATACAGTGGTGCAGCGTTTGTTTTAACTATTACATTATTTTTACGCTTTTCAGGTCAGGACAAGAGCAGATCCATTAAAAAGCTTTGCTAACCTCAGGGCTGTTATCTCCAGAGAAGCACTCTGAATAGTGGGGGTACTAGCTGTGTAAAATTGAACTTGAGAGCAAATGATCATAAAATATAATGTATTGATTATAATGGGAAGGTTTTGTTATAGATTTCACACTGTTGATGGGTAATGAGCCTTTTATTTTCTTTCTTTCTTCCTTTTTTACAGAGGCTTAGTTCAGTGTCTTACAAATCTCGAGAGGAAGATCCATCTCTTACAGAAGATGAGGTAGGTTTCTTGCATGAAATTCAGTATTCAGTAACTAACTAGAGACCAATTTTTAGGCAGAAATTAGCATAAGCTCTGCATGATTAAGCAGAACCTAAGAAAGGTGAAACTTGTGTGAAAGAAAAATGAAAACCCAAGGTTCTCTGCACAGAGTTTCTATTGCAACATTCCTAAAATCTGAAGTATTCTAACATATGGCTGTATCAGGCCCATAGGTTAAAAATCGTGTCAGAAAATAATAGGAGGCCATAATTAGTTGATTGTTAGGGTAATTTCTTGATTTGGTTGACAAAACCTTCTCAAGAAGAATAGCCAGCAGCCTTTTGAAACATATGTTCCACCTTCCCCATGCGAAGTGTTTGGGGCTCTGGGAAGTAGACTGAAGCACAATAAAAGCACTGGAATATAAACTGTTCTTTAAAATGTTTCTTGGTCAGATAAATGGAGGCAAGTTAAACAAAGAGAAAAATTAAGCATAAATAAGGCTGTTTGTGATCATCTCCAGTATACCAATGCCATTTATAAATATGTTCTCTGGACATAAAACTAAACACAAACTTGGCAATGAACTAAGTGAGCTAATGCCTTCTGCTGGGAGAAGCATTCACAGCCATTAATGAATAACCTGATCTTGAAGTGGGTTAATGTAATCTAATACTGAGAAGATCTGAAGTATAGATGAGCAGAAAAGCCATTTTTTGTTAGCTGAAATCAGTAAAAAGTAAGAAATACTGCCATCTCCAAGTTGATGTCCCTCTAAAACAAACAAATAAACAAAAACCAACCAGCCCCAAAAATCCCAAACCAAACTAGACCAAAAACAAAATAAAAAAAAAAAACCAAACCAATCAACCAAGCCCCACACAAACACACACACAAAAAATATCCCATTATTATCCGAAGTGTTCTGGTTTGTCTGCTTCAGCTGTGTTGCCTAATGGTAAAGGATATTTTCATGCTAATCTACTCTTTTAACTGGATTGATACAAACCCAGAATGGCTTTGCATGTTTGGGAAAGACTTTAAATGTAATAGAAGAGCTATGTTGCATTGCGATACTGGATACCAGAGAAGCTGTGCGGGGAATTTCAGCCCATCTGTCTTGTGCAAGGACTAGTATCCATTTGGCCTGGGAGAGGGAATTAAGACTGATTCCTGTGCTTGGCAACAACGTAGGTAATCCCTGAGCAGAGGGACATGTGTGGATGTGGGCTGCTCCCCACCTTTTCATGAAGGGCCACTTTCATACACTTGTTGAAGTGTACCACCTCACCAGATGAAATTTTTAGTTAGGAATTAAATGCTGTCTCCCTTTCTGCTGTTTACAGCTGAGAGGTTTCAGTCTCCAGTCTAAAGTTCACATACTCAGTGTTTGAGAAGCAGCTCTTCTTTGCAGGCAAAGTGTAGTCAATGGAGCAGACCTTGAATATCAGTATGGGCACTACTTGCTATTATCTGGTGTGAGTAATTTAACTACAGATTTTTAATGTTGTCTTCACATGTGTTGGTGCCTATTTAGTCCTGCCTACAAAAACAATCAACTATTCTTCTACTGCAGTGTCTCTAAAAGCAGAAAAGTTGCCACTACCATTAAAAATAGTAACAATAATAATTTTTAAAACCCTAAGGATCAGACAGCATCCTTCATTACTGCAGTTCAATCTGATCCTCTCTTTGATGCCTCTCTCCCTGTTGAGTCCAAATTGACTCCAGGACCATATTAGAACTTGCAAGAGCTCCTGCTCACAAAGCCATTCCCTTTTTCCCAGTTCTAATTTTCTCACCAGGGTTTTATATTAAAGGAATTTTACATTTTTAAACTTATTTTATAAAACATTATTTTTTTGAAAGAAAACCAATCTATAAATACATGCCAGAAAATGAAGGATTTGTAAGAAATAAGTGGAGGTTTTTTCCCCTCAAGGAAAAAAATCATATCCATTTAGAATAGATATCTTTTTATCAGAAGATCCTGTAGTTTCTTAAATAGCCAACATCCTTGTAGTACAAGGGTACAGACTGCTGCACAAGCTCTATGCATGCTCCATACTCAGCAGGTGTCTCCTTTTCCTAGATCTCAGCCATGTACTCATCGGTGAGTAAGCCGGGACAGGCCATCAAGGCACTGGATTCTCCTTACACCTGCATTCAAGAAATTGCATCTCAGAGGTCCCCGTCTGTTTGCAGTGGCCTCTATGCAAGTGTGAAGGACTTTGAAAACACCCTAAATTCTACCACTGTGCCTCAGTCAGTGGACAGACCAAACGGGGAGCTGGAGCCGGACTATGAAGCCATCCAGTCAGTGAGCCAAGAGGAAGACAGGACCTTGTCCGTGCCTAACATAAACCACACTGCTCCTTCAGGAGAGAACGACTACGAGAGCATAGGGGACTTGCAGCACCACAGGGAATTCACCAGACTTTAACCACTCTGGCAGCAGATTTCCCCGCTGTTATTTTCAAAAGACAAGTGAAATGTGGAGAGGGAAGTGTTTTTCCTGTGGAACACAAGTTGTGAAGAAGCAATGTACGTTTCAGCCAGGGTGTGATACCTGCTGGTTTTTCTGGGTGGTGGATCAAGGCTCATGGGAAAGGGTACGTCAGATCAGAAAGATGACCAGGACAATGTAAAGGTTTCTTTATTATTATTATAAGCTCCAAGGCAAACATAATTTGGGAAGGAGTGCCATGCTTGCTGTCCTGGTAGGATTATGTACCAAAAAGACTACCTTTACACAAAACTAGCTTCTCATTTTAAGAGATTATTTTATGTAATTTTCTTCAAAGTGTTTTTCAAGCATAATTTTTCATTCAAGTTTTGGCATCCACAATGTTGAGCAAACCACAGAAAATTGTACCTCAACTCAGACTTACTTTGCAGGGCTGGGGAAGATGCACTCATTTCTGTGGCTTTACATTCACTGCAACTAAAGTGCAAACAACAGTAGTTCACAAGGGACCGACTCCAAATGCACTTGAACTAATTCTGCTGGCTTTTTTCTTTTTTTTTTTTTTTTTTTTAATGTCAAGGGCTGTGGAATGTGACTTGCAGTATTTGAGATGTGTAGTGGTACTTGTAGGACTTTGAAAACACCCTAAATTCCTAAAAACCTAAAGGGGTTTTGTTTGATTATTTGTGAAATCCCCTTTTAAAATGGCAGTGGTCACCCTTAGCATTCTTGCACTGTTTCCCTCAAATGGACATAAATACCTACACATACACACCCAAGATCATTGTCATGTTGTAAAAATTGTGCAAATGAATGCATTGGCATAATGTGTAGTCTAACCTTAGTAGCGTTGAGTACTTTTTTTTGCAGAATTTTGCCCTTTTTAAAGACTTAAATATTTTAATATTTGTCTAGTTTCTTATATAGGAAAAATTATGTACTGTATTGAATGAGTAATACTTTTATTTTTTACAACATATTTTTCATCACAGTTTTTGTAGATTAACTTACTGGGGTTTGTAATAGGAGGAAACCCATTCTTTATTTGGGCTTTATTTGGTTTTGGTTGGCTTTTTCTTTTTTTTTTCCTATTTCAAAAGTAGATAAATGAAAATTGCTTTGGGGTTGTTTTGTTGGTTTTTTCTGTCTCCTTGAGCAGGGAAATGGATCATGCCTTGCTGTTTTTAAGCTAAAACCATGGAGTCTATGTAAAAGAACACTGCCAAAGGGCAAAAAAAAGGCAAGAGACAGTGGGATTTAGTCAGGCATAGCCACTGGTCCTCTGTGTTCTTCTGCTAAAAGGAACAGGAGGGCAGCCAAGACCTACTTGGGCCTCTGACAAACAGTTTGAAAGCCACTGGCTTTTCAAAAATGCCACATTATTCTGTTACTGTGAAAAACAAAGTACAGTGCTAGGATGAAATAATCAGGTACTGGATTGGTACCTTTTTCCTTTAAGAATAATACAGTAAATAGTACAATGGTACGAGAATAGTCCAACAGTAAAGAGCTAGCATTGTGTGACATGCATGTGCACATATCCCAATGTATATAAGCATACACTTGTAATTTGGACACAAGTATAAGTTATAGTTCAAGCTTGGCAACATTCACATTCGTAATATCTGGCATGTGCTTGAAGAGCAGTTTATTTTTAATTCAAAATAAACAGTACATAAACTGAGGTTGGCTTATTCTGTAGTAAACAAAACAGGTTTACTTTGAGCTCAATTGGTACTGGTTTTGAAGGTTGAGCCCTTCTCGGATCCTTGGTCAGTTCTCAACATGACTTGGTACTATAAAGAGCAAACATAGATCTGGTTACATACATTTATTAGAAATAGTTTCATAACTGAGAGAAGAGTGCTGATTTACAGGCTTCGCCTGCAAGTAGTACAGCTCTGAGGAGCAATGCAATTGTGCAGTCAACCTCTGCCCATGGGGGGGTTCAAACTTTGTGGCTCCTGACCTTGTGCAACAGTGCAGCACACTTGATCTACAACTGTCTTCCTTGGAGGAGAAGAAGTGCAGACCACTCTACATCCATCCTGTTCTTGACCATGCTGCCATGTTTTGACAGCTGTAGCAAACCCTTTGCTTCCACTTCAGTGATTTTTAAGGATGACTGTGGTTCTGCTTTCTGGAGTTTTTCCCTTTATAAAAATTCTTGTTTGTTTCCTTGAATGTTCTGTTCACCTTTGAATGTTCTCTCATTCTACTTCACACCGTTTAAGGCCAAAGATAAGATGCACCATGTTTCAGAAGATTTGTTATATTAAGTCTGGAGAATTTCTTTAGTCTTTAACTATGTGTTTGCTGTCTGTTCCTTGCTCAGGGGTACCAGTTTATATATGTAGTCCTCAGTCTGACTCCTGCAGCTTAGTGGCAGGCATACCTCAACTGAAATTCCCAAATACATCTCAAGATGTAGTTATCCCTTTACATGGATGACTGCTTTTGGAGAAACAGTAGGAACTCAAGGTTTATCAGGCTCACTAGATTCAATTTCAAGACCAATTCAAAGATATCTTGAGACAATGCCAGTTGATAGCAAAGAATAGCACTGAATTCTTGATTGTAAATTTTAAGGTGCAAAAGAAGAAAATCAAACATCATTCTGGAAATACCCCCATTGAGACCACCAGGTCAAAGGATGGTGGAGGACTGTCCAGTCATTCTGTTGTCTTTCTTAACCAGATCAGAAATGTTGCTTTGTGGGAAGGAACAGAAGTCCTTCTGTTCTTTCTTCTGTTCTGACAACTACTCCTAAGACCCCCTTAACTTCCCTTTTACACAATGAAAGAAAAATTTTCCTCCCCCTCTCTTTTTGCACTGGGAGCTGGTACTGTGTCTGCAGACCTGTGGCAGTGGCACATTCCTTCCTGTTTAAATGACTTCCAGGATGGTCACAACCTTTTAATGGTCCATCAGACCTCAGTCTCATGGAGAAGCAGTTCACATTTTGGATTGCTGCTTTTGGGATGTGTACCTGCCCTCAGCCTTGAGACCCACACACACTGGACTTAAAAGCTGCAAAAGAGAATTACCCTTCTGAACAAGGATGTATGGGGGAGTCCATAATTCCCCTGCATTCTCCATCATGTAGTCTAATGCTAAAGGAAAATGTTTTAGAATTCAGTCCAAGTTTGGTAAGTGAGTATTTACATTTCTTGACAAAGAATCAAGGTTCTGGTTTAGTTCCCTCTTCCCAGAAGTAACACCTATTCCTTTATGACTGTTGTCAATGCTTCCTTTTCATTAATATATTTGATAGAAAGATTTTTTCCAGCAGTAATCGCCAAAGAGATTAATCTGACTGTAAAGAAAAGGGAATCTCTTCTACTTGTCTCTTTACTGCTCTTTTTAACTCTTTCACCATATCCCTAAATAAATGTCAACATCCAAAATGAAGTATTTGTTACCTGGTGATGTTTTCTGGGGAAGCTTCATAGTCTATTTCTTTGCCTCCTTTTTTTGGCACAACTGTACAGTAAGATCTCACATCAAATTGCCACAGTAAGGCCAACATAAGCTGTAATGTGTATATAACTGCACTAGTGAAAAGGTCTTTTTGATTTCCCTCTGGGAACTGGCAGAAAATAGGAAATGCAGTTCAGACGTCTCTTCATGAATCTGTGTCTTCCATGGCAGCTGTTCTTACCACACACCTAAACCAGTGCTAATCCAATATGTAAACCAGTCATCCAGTGCAGAATAACTTTCTCAGTCACAGAGAGAAATAAACTCTTTGCAGATACCTGTAGCATGGGCATGTACCTAATTACCACAGTTAGATCAGTTATAGTGCCTTTTCTACTAAGCAGCTAATACTTCCATATTCTCTTCCATACTGTATGTGTTTAATTCAAAAGTACAAAGGGACAACCCCAACGATTACTTGTCCCAACTTGGAAACATCTTTATAGAGACACATTTAATGTACTGGACCTCAGTTAGCCCTACAATAGCAATAGTCACTCACAAACACTAAATAGTCACTCACATCCACTAAGAAGCCCGGTAATGTAGCTATGATGACTAAGCTTTGCAATAAGAATTACCAGTCTTCTTTTGAAGAACCTAGGTTTTACAATAGCAAGCATTCAGGGAGGTCGTGTTCATGTCAACTGTGAACAATTTGTTGCTTCAGTCTTTCTATTAATATAAATTGCAGGCTTGCTTACATGTAGCAGGATCCATGGAGTGAGGGATGAGTAGGTGTGGGGATTCACTGTCATAAGTAACCCAGAATTGGGTCATCCCCATAGTTAAGTGGCTGATGACCAGCTGCCTTTTCTCCAAGCCCTCATCTATTGTGCCTTCAAGGAATCTATCCTGCGGGGCTGCATGCTTCTCCATGGCTCCCTGAACAGCTCCTGTCCGCTGTTTTGAACACAATTCTGTACACGCGGTGCTCTCAGTTCAACCTTTCAATGGTGCTTTTATAAGATGCTGGATAAATGATTTGCATGTGTAAAGCTGTGACACAGAATGCTCTCTCTGGCATTGTCTGTTTTCCAGAACTTGGCGTTACTGTGCTGCTCTTGACTACAAAAGCTGACAGTGCTGCCCTGTCTCTTGCTCATCTCACCACAACCAGGGTGGAGCCACCACATGTGCCAGCCCTGCCTAGGCTGGGACACGAGTGTTTAAAAGCAGCCATTCAGGCCAGGTGACTTGGCTTGGAAGCAGCTACAGACAGGACTCTCATCTGTGCACTGTGGGACTGGAAACATCATAGCCCAGCTCAAGGACTTCATTTCTGTCTCCTATTGTGCATATACGTTTGTTTGCCACATGACTGTAAGAAATCTGTTTCTCTATCAAACATTTCAATTTGGACCACACTCCAGTGAGGGACTCTTGGTCTTAGGAAAATAACCAGTTATTTCAGATGAGTTTTATTTTTTGAGGTTGAAGTATGCCTGAATAAGGCTTTTACGTGCCTCACAAATAATTTGGTGTGGTAGTCTGCTGCAAAGCAGAAGAGTGCAGAAAGATGCTTAGCCTGACAGATGCTCCTTTGGTGGTGTGCTGAAGACTTTCAAGGGAAGGTCTCTTCCTGGGAGAAGGGAACATAATTACTGTTAATAAGATTTCATATCCTGGTGCTGAAGTTGATTTGTAGCATCTCTTCTGGGATGGTGGTGGCTGAAGCCATTGCCAGAGCATATCTCAGCTTCAGAAAAGAAAATATATATATAATATACCCCTTGCTGGCAAGCAACGTGTGTTCAGGATTATGTTAAATACTGCAAATGGAACATCACAGAGCTAAAAATACATGGTTCCCTTTCTTTAAGGCGAGACAATCCCCTTGGCTGGTCAGCATAAAATATCCCAGGCTTACAAAACTTAATTACCTATTTGGTGATTTTCCAGAAGTGCATTAGAATATCACATACAGTAGGCACTGTTCTTTTCTCCTGAACAGGAGAAAAATGACAACTTATTTGTAATACAAGGTTCCCACTGATTAATTGATAAAACTTAATTTACATATAATCAAAAGGTCAGCAAGAGTGTCTACATAAATGTAGATACATTTTAGCTCTGCCACCCCAATTTCCATAGAAATGCACAGATTATATTTGCATTACATACCCATTAGTCTGTGCCCAGTCTATGGATAATATAAATCTTACAGTTCTGTTTTTACAAGCTGCGAGGTTTTGTTTCTGGAGGCCTTCAGTTTTAAATTGGCCAGGACAGTCACAATAAATATGATAGCAAAGTGCCTAAAAATATGGATGTTTCTGAAAAGGTAAAGATGCTCACTGTTATTGCACAGCCACTTGACTACTGTATGTGGTGCTCTCTTGCCATACACATTCCTAAATATTTGCTTTCATTTGTGGTGTTTGTTTATTGTTATAATAGCACAGTCTGAAAAGGGTTTTGTTTCTGCAAATTCATTGGCTAATTTTAACTAGCATGTATTTGTACAGAAAATACAATTTTTTTGTTGTTGTTTAGAAAGCAGGTACGTTATTTCTTATAGTTTATGATAATGCAACAATCAGCTTAGATAATTTAAAAGGTATGTAAGTATCACTTGACTTCAGAATGCTTCATTTGGGATTTCAGAATGCCTTCTGTTCACTACAAGACAATATAACCAACTCTTATCCTTTTAATCTTGCTATATTGAGGAGGGGGGCTTAAACCTTACAAATAATATTAAAAAAAAAAAAAAGACAGTTCTGATGTTTTCAATTCCTAATGTCTAAGAAAATAACAATTTTAACTCATATTTTAACTTCCAGCATAGGTGGGATTTGGACTACCCTCTTATTTATGGAACTGCTCTTCCCCACTATGTTCATCTGTCACCACCTGAGAATCTCTTTTGTCCTTAGTGAAATATAACAGTTGTACAGAGGGCACAAAACTGCATCACATTAACAATTCTGAATGGGACCTTTTCAATGTGCCTGTGAGATTTAGAAGCCTGGACTTAAGTCTGATGTTTTGGGGTAATCGCATCCTGTCTAGAGGACATCTGTGGAGGTCTTCACTATCTTTCCAAGCAAGATATTCTGTAGCTTGCAAGCACACACATGACTTTCAAAGACACATATAAGATGTTAATTTTCACAATGTTTAAATGTATTATTAAAGAGACATCTAAGAGCACAAGAACCTGCTTTCTCACATTCTGAGGATATTGGAATTTGGTCTTTGTATCTGAGATTGAGAAAGGTCACATACCCAGTCTCCTCAGAGCATCCTACCAGCAGACAGGTCTTTGAAATGAGCCACTGTGGTGGCTCCTCTGTTTCTTCATGGATGTACCACCTTCATGATTTCCAGCAGGGCTCATCTCATCATCTCATCTCATCTCATCTCATCTCATCTCATCTCATCTCATCTCATCTCATCTCATCTCATCTCATCTCATCTCAATCTCTGTGGTGATGACTACTTCAAAATGGCCCTTTGCTTCACAGTCCCAACCCCTTTAACTTAAGGAAGGGGATGTGAGCTGCTTCTCCTCAGCCTAACCGGTCTTTCTGGATGAAAGCATGCTAAGAGCCCACCTCCAGACTCACAAAAGAGCATTCACTGTCAGCTCTGTCAGGGTAAGACAGGTACAGCCCACTGCAGAAGCTAGGAAGAAAGATAAAGTAACAATAGCTAAGTTCCATTTGTACTTCCCCCAGAAGTTTTGAAAGATTTTTAAAGTAGAAACATTTACAGTAAAGGGAAGAGTTGCTGAGAGTCTCACAAGAGATGGATAACATTGTTTATTCTTCTTAGTATTCCCTATATACAGAGACGAGCAAGTCATCACTACCCAACCATGATGCAGCTGGATTATCTTTTATCAAGCCTCCATATCAACAGAATGGAAATGAATAAATTCTAAATACCTGGTTTTGTTCTATTAGAAACCACACATGGACAATAGTACATGCACTAATGTCAGCACTATGTGTAGATCTGGACTTGAATTATATGGGTTTTTAGCAAAAAACAAAACCAAAACCCAAAGGAACAAAAACCCAACTCTAACTGGAGTACTTTGTTTAAATAGAATTATTTGCATGCGCCAAGGCTGCAAGATTGGGCCTTAAGAGTTTAGAAGTTTGGTTTAAAAGTTAGGCATTTTTGTTTGTATTTTCAGTTAAATGTATTTTCTATTTTTGATGTTAGTGAGTTGGTATGACTTTCATAAGAACAACAAAAAATAGTCAGTTATATGGATAATTATGTCTAATCACTAATTATTAAAATCATGCCTCAGTAGGAGTCACTTAAAATTGGGTGTTATATGAGCTTCAGCATAAAATTGCTTTACATATGGAACACTGCATACTAAGAACATAGTGGATAAGAATTTGTAAATAAAGACACTTGTCTATTTTATCCATTGTTTTATAATGGAAAAAATACGTGCTCCTGGAATATCTCTGAGCAAAGTTCTCTTACATAGTGTTCTCGCAACAAAAAGTGTTTTCTGGACAACTATTTGAGTCTCTAATCCCCAACACAGAACAAAACAAATCCTCAAAACAGTATGAGCTTGTGAAAAGAGAAGCTTAGGCCTGTCCTGGCTATCGTAGAGTGGATATAATTGAATATCCTGCAAAGCGAAGCTCTGTGGGCAGTGAGAGCAGCTCAGTGATTCAACAACTGTGCCATAAACACAGTGCATGGAGCCAGTGCATGCAGACTTCTGAGATGGCATTAGCTAAGGCTTGTTTGCTACATGAAGGGTTGTTTGGCTTGCTACCTGTTTGAAATTGGAATACTTCTATCAACACCACTGCAAACACTCAAAATACTGTAGTTTTGCAGAATGTATGTTCCATAAATAGTAGTTTAACTGTAATTGCAGGGCTTATCCTACCGTTAGAGCAGTTCAGATCCAACACTAAATTGCATTTTGTAAATTTAAAAATGCCATTAAATTCCTCTCAATATTTTGTAATAGTATACACAAGTTGATGTCATTTAGTCATACCTTTGTTCCAAGAATCTTCATCAGATATTTCTATAGCCAATTCAGCTTTTGGCTGCTGAAAGCACAGTAGGCAATTATGGTTATTTACTGTAAATGTAGAAAGTTTTATGTAAATATTTCTGAGGGAAAAATGTTACATGAACATATGAAGCAGTTATCTAAAAGTAAGAACATAGGTCAGTAATAAAAAATTCAGGTTTTATTTATGTACAGTAGCATCCTAATATTTACTTGTTTATATGCAGAAAAAAATCATATGATTCTGTACTGTATTCTCTGAATGCGTTTAAAAGAGGGTCTGCCATTTTCACTGGTTATTTTATTTGCAAATAACTCGAATTTATTGGAAATCCATGTAAATTATGTCAAATGGGAAACATGTTACATTGCAATGAAATTAATTTAATTCAAAAATCCTGGAAAAAATCATTGGATTAAAATCTATATATAAATTTAATAGCCAGACAGAATAAACCACAATAAATAAGTTTTGTCTTTTGTTTTAGTGGTTGGTTGGTTGGTTGGTTGGTTGGTTGGTTGGTTGGTTGGTTGGTTGGTTTTTACCTGTGCTTCTTTTTGTTGTTTTCTTAACAAATACATTATTCAGTCCTTGCAGTCACTTTTATCCTGCAGGTCTTAAAACCTGCATTTATAGAATTCTGTTTGTTCTGGGAATTTCATGCTGATTTCATTATCTGACAAGAACTACTAAGACTTCTTTGTGATATATAGCACCTTACTCCTCCCAAAGCCACAGTCCTGTCAAGATTCAAGCATGCACACAAGAGCACGAATTTTAAGTTGTCTCTGACTAAAGCAGGGACTGCCATGAATGTAGTGGAACTATGCTTTTCAATGCAGGTAAGAATATTGGGTCCGAGCCTTTCAAAGTTGTGCAGCTTTCAGCATTTTTAAAGTTGCAGCTACCAGCCCCGTGGATTATCCTCTGAACTTCCTGTGGCATTTGATTCCTTTTCCTTTGTTATAGATGCTCTCTAGGTAATGTTCCCCATCCATTTGCTGCACTGCTCTGTCAGTAGCAAGCCTCATTTGTGTAGAAATACTTCTAAGAGTATCCTGAAGCATCTCAGAGGCAGGTGACTGAGGACCACTGCTGAATATGTAACACAGATTCTGCTTGTAAGTCTAACACAAAGAAATGTCATGTTTTAAGCATGTCACTGGAACAAGGCTTCTTTGTACACTAGAGCATTAGGCTAAAATAGTACCTAACCTTTTGGGGTTTCCACTCTCCGTAACTTGCACCTTTCTCTTCATTATCTTTAATTACAGATAGGAAAAGGACAGCTTTGCCCACTTAATACTGAGAAGTTACTGATGAACAGGTTCCTGGAAAATTCACAGTGCAGACAGGGATTAGTTACACCAAGCTAGGAGACTGAAGAAATTAGACAGACTAGTAGTATCTGTTCATTGTCAAAGTGATGGCTTTTTAATGTTTAATCTAGGTAAGTATATTTTAATACTCATAAGGTTATAGATCAAAAAGAGAATTTGTAAAAATAAGGAATATTTCATGTGCAAAATCATTCAGGATCTGATAAATGTAGAAGAAGGTTTTTCCTGAACATTTGTTCATGGGCCAAGAAGCTGCAAAATATGCAAGTTGATATAAATTTTGCATTAAGTAACTGTTAAATATTATCCAATACGGGCTGTTCTTCTGAAAAAAAAAAAAAATGCATGCAGCATTATTATCAAGAGAACTGTTTCACAGATTTTTTTTTTTTATTATTCTTCATTCTGAACAGTTGCTCTCAGCCATAAAATTGCTCTATTACTATGGTTAGCTTCATGTTTGAGGCCAACCACACAGAACTATAAATGTGACTCGTTGAAATATTGAACAATTTTCCCAGATTCTAGCTAATCATATAGCTGCATGGACACACTTGGGAACAGAAAGTACAAGCATCTTTGTTCTCCATGAGCTTTGATACCACTTAAAAGTAAAGCTTTAACCTGAGAGAAGCTCCGTGTGGAATCAGGACTATACTGCAGTGACACCTGGTGTTTAAAATAGAATTAGTCGCTGTGAAGTGTGGCTGACAATTTACTTTTAATTTGGTACATATTCACTCAAAGACTCCCAGTTCATCCTGTGTTCATGGAGCACAGCATTATGTTGAACTAGAAAGCATTGGAGCTAAAGAGTGACTTGACATTGCTTCGTAGAAAATGTGTCTGACAGATTTGTTTCAAAGGTGCAAAACTGCGGTGACATGATCTTCCTAGCACTGTAGCTAGCAAGATACTTCAGCACTACTTCTCAGTTGGCTATTACATAAATGAGATTGACCTTTCATATAACTCACACAATTGGAATTTCTGTGCAGCCTTTGTGGAAGGACTGATAGGCAAGAACAGAGAACTGCCAGATCAGGCAGAAAACAGGGATCCTGTGTGTGTCATGGTGCTAGAAAGCATATTAGAGCTACAATAGATTCTTCTGAAACAGCTCCTGCTAAAGAGCTTATTGACCAAAGTAATCAAGATCTGCATATTTACAGATGTGACTGAAATGGCATGTAAATCCCATTATCAGTTAATGTAATTAAGGATTATTAGGATAATGTAAGATAATATTGACGAGGATCATTATTATTATTATTAAAGATTTCAGTTTGCCACAAGATTAAATAAAAATAAGAAGATCTGGTAGCAATCTCTAATTTGGACTGAAAAAATATTTCTATTATGCAAAAGGTTTGTGTCACCTATTTTGAAAACCACATTTATGTAATTAATCCTTAAAATCTGGCAAGGACAAAACTCTAAGGTTTTCCTTCATGTTGGTTTTCCTTTATGCCACAAAATTCTGTTAAGGAGTTGGCTGAGCTACATAAGTCACATTATCCTAATAATCCTTATGTGGTGAAGTAGTTGCAAGCATAAAAAATAGCACAAACCTATATGAAGTATGGGAAGGTATTTGCAAATCTGAGTTTTCTTTCCCTCCAGATTTTGCAGCTTAGGTAACACTTGAAGGTTTGGTACATGACTGAAAGATGTTGACTGCCACTTGTCTGTGACATGTCTGCAGCTGACACTATAAAGACTGATACGTGGAAATATAAGATGACAAGGATCCCACCCTTTATAATTTTCAGCTAAAATACTCATTGAGCAGATGAGTGCAAAGAGATGAGTGGGAGTAAAGTCCATTCTCTGTTGTTCATTGTATGAGGTTTTTTATGATACTCTAAAAAGTGAGATTAGTTTTTTCCATGGCACCCATATTCCCACTAGGTCTGTGGCTGCAGCTCCTGGGTTCAAATACAGTGTTCTCCAATACATGGTGTCTGGCAAGCCTCCTAGCCCAGGCACAGCCTGCTTCTTCGTGTTACCAGAATATACAGTCAGCTCTGGCACATGGGATAACATCCCCTAAGCTGCCTCAGCACAGCTCCAGCCTTGGTCCTGGCAGGTCCAGCTCCAAGCTTCAGCTAAAGAATCTGCACAGAACCATGGAGCTTGTGGTTCTCCATGGTGCTTGTATGTCTCTGCACCAGCACTGCGGTTTGGCCACAACCTAGGTAATTTCCCCACAAAAGGGAGATAAATAGGTGTGTGTACTTCTTTAGCTATGTGTATGCATGGGTAATAAGGGGAGAAGAAAAGAAAAAGCATCACAGGTTTAAAATCACGTTAATTCCCTTATCAAAGCTCTTCTTATGCACCTTTCCACTTGGAATTGTCCAAGCAATGGCCTATAGTGAAAACTGGATGGAAACGCAAGACAGAAAGATTTAAGGTTGTTTGTGGTCAGTTGTGTGGTTCACAGAACAAGAGAGTTTGGAAGAGAGAACTCTCCCACTGGAAATGTGTGAGCCGGAGGCAACACCACCATGAGGTTCTATAGCAAGAGGAACCCCTTCACAAAGGCCTGGGGGGTTATCCTGTACCTTTCAGCCACACATATGACAAAATTAAAACCAAAGTTACTACCTTGGTGCCTGGGGTGGCTGTACAGGAAGGTTCTCAATAAATTAAGTAATTTTAGGTTAATTGAAAAAGACCCCTTCAAAATACAAATTATTCTTTTTTGAACCTAAGCTGAGCAACTTTCTGTTTGCTTTCAAAAAAAAAAAAACCCAAAACACTTTAACATGTATGTAGGATACTTGTCAGGCTATTACAGCCCCTAGATGGTTACCACAAAGTAAGAGCTGAGTGTTTTGGTCCCCTGCAGCACTAAGGGAGTTAGGTAACTTCAAAGGAGTCTCCAACAGGCAATGTACTGAGAACAAACTGCTTGAGGTAGTCACTGATGAACACAGAGATGATATTAAGGGTCTGCTCACCCAGTGTAGGATAGGCAGGTACTTCCTGGCAGTCATCTTTCACAGACACCAAACATTCCAGTATGTTCTGACAGCTTGTGTCTTGAAACCTGTGTGTTGGGTGAGATGATGACAACTACTATTTGTAGCATGGAAAAATTAGCCCGAAGAAATACTTAGCACATGTTCTCTTCTGGAGAAGTGCAATATGAACTCATTCAGAGCCTAAGCAACCATGACCACGTCCGTATGGGGAGCACATGTCCTTTCAGTTAAACACATTTCTATTTGTGCACCATTGCCCTCCTAGCAAATCTGCATAAATCCAATGCTTTAAAGCACTTGTCATCTCCACTACAGTATGGTGGGAAATGTTAAGTGCTGGGTACACTTTAGGCTGCATTCAAAACTGATTTAGAGGAGTGCCTGAACTCATTTAAGATTAATATCTGGTCAGGCCAGGATATCTCTCATGGATAACACTGATGTCCAGATTTCCTTTTGGTATTTCAGAAATATCAACAGAAACTGCATCTGGAGGGATTTGTCTCCAGTGATGTACATGCAATTTTCATACTGCAGGAAGAAGAAAGTTGCAGCACTAACAGCCACACAGTGCCATTCGAAGTGTAGTTAATAATGATTAAGCAAATTCATTTATTCTTCTGTAAAGTACATTTGCAACAAAGGAAAAGAATGAGAATGCTATCATATCACAAGGGGTTCTTGCTACTTATTCTGCACAGACTCAGAGATAGTTTAAGGTAGGCAAAAAAAAATACAGGAATTTTCATCTTGACAGACTTTGCCAACATTTGCCATGTTACTACACCCAGCTTGTGAATTTGACACCAAAGACCTATCAAGTAAGTGCTCTTGCATGTTTGCTTTTCCTCACCATACAGAAAATGTTCTCTTTTTCCTAGAAAGCTGCAAGCCCTTTTCATAATTAGCTCTGAATCCATCAGTGGTCTCCACAGGGTCCAGAACTTCAAATGCTCTCCTTCCTTGCACGCAGGTTTTGGGGGGCTCCTCCTAGCTTTTCTCAGGGCTGTTTAATTTATGATTTGTACTTCCGGTTAGGGCAGAAATAAAAAACTTGCCATTAAGTTGCCTAATTCCATAGCTGATTTCTGTCTCTGATAACCAGATTCAGTAGCAAAAGGATGTGAAGAGAGGCAAT